CCCCGCCATTCCTATCTGGGTGGCACTGAGGCTGTCATTCTGATTCTGACCCCAGCCCGAGCTCTCTGGTGCTTGGGTGCTGGTCCTCTGGGGCTCTAGCTGAGTGTTAGCGCCTTGACATTCGTCCCCACATCCATTGGTCAGTGCAGACAGTTCAGCGCTTTAGAGTAGAGTACAGCCTCTAGCGGAGGGCCAAGAGCTAACTGTGGGATGACTGCCTTTTTTAAAGTCCCATTTTTAGTTTTGAAAGTTATCCATATTTTTTTCATTTTCCCTTATTCTGATGTAAGCTTTTTAAAGTCAGGAACCGTATTTCAGGTCTCCCATCTCTCTCCTAACACCTCGCATAGTTTCCTCACCTGTAAAACTGGAATAATCCAGCTCTTGGTGGGAGAGATGGAACGATTACATGAGTAACAACCAGTGCCAGGCACACAGTCAACCCTTAGCAGATGTTAACCCCCCTTTCAGCTGATCTGCTTCCTCCTGAGGTCAGGCCTGTGTCTAAAGAGCCTTCTAGATAAACTTAGAGAAAAGTAGATAAACTTAGAAGTAGATAAACTTAGAGAAAAGTCAAAAGGATATCAAGTTAGAGAATTTCTCCTGGCCAGTTTTAATTAAGGTTGAAAATTGTTCTCTGGGCCAGGTGGTGAAGTACCTGTTAGATTCCAATGCAAAACCCGATAAAAAGGATGTGAGTGGAAACACACCCCTCATTTACGCCTGTTCCAGTGGCCACCATGAGGTCGCAGCACTGTTGCTACAGGTAAGGGCCCCACACACAACGCAGGAGCTGCTGACACTGGTCAGTGGTGGCATCTTGTCACTCAGTGAGCCCCTGGCCACACACTGAAGATGGATGCGGCTCCCCCTTGCTTTAAGCTGCCCCTGGGGAGAGCAGCTTTGCACGAAATTTCCATGCAGTGGTTCTCCAGTGGGAAATGGGTCTCAGTGTCTGCGCGGGCTGCAGTTAAGGACACAGACACTAATTTTGCTGCAGGTTTGGCTCTTGCCTCATTTACCTGTAGGGTAGTTTGAATTGTATTGGGTCAAGTTGAACTGTTACCTTTAGTGTGAGCTGCATGTCCTTTGTCACTTTTTTCGTCTCTTGATAAAGGTTATATGTGCCCACTGTAGAACAAAGAATTTAAAGAAACAGGGAAAACCAACTTGCTTGTCATGAATAACCCTGTTACTCAGAGGCCACGCATGGTGGCGGGTGTGGAAAGTGCGCGTAATTTAGATCAGTATTGTTTCCATCTTATTTTCACTTCCAGTAGAAAATTGTTTATTAAAACCGCCATTTTAAATGGTTGCCTAACTCTAGATGCACCGTATAGTGTTTCTTTGCTTAACTGTTCCTGCTTTATACATTTAGGTGACCTTTTTCTGCCAAAATGATAAATCCTCCAGTGAATATCTGTGTACATAAATCTTTCTTCTCAGTATTAAACCCCAGCATTTTAAGTGAAATTTCAGACATACAGGAAAGTTGAAAGAATTTTACAGTGTCCACCCATCTAGATTCTGCATCAGTAGCCGTTAGCGTTCCTTTTGATTGCACTGTTTCTCTTTCTAGCATGGGGCTTCCATCAATGTCTCTAACAACAAAGGCAACACCGCGCTGCATGAGGCTGTGATAGCGAAGCACGTCTTCGTCGTGGAGCTGCTGCTTCTGCACGGAGCGTCGGTCCAGCTCTTGAATAAGAGGCAGTGCACAGCTATAGACTGTGCTGAGCAGGTGAATGGGAGGGCACCCCAGGCTCCCTCACAGCTCACTCTGGATAATCCTTGTGTGTAAACCAGATCTGAAGTAGCAGGAGCCAGACTTTGAATTGCTATGCCCGAAGTCTGCCAGTGTGGTTGAATACCCAGTCCTTGGTCACCTGGTCAGAAGTGGGCCCCTCAGGAGCCAGGAGTCAATCCTTCAGGGGTAGTTTTCAAAGGCCTGAGTAGAGGTGCTCCTCCCACCAACTGCAGGTCTGGGGCCCTAGTCTGGCCCCCTGATGAGCAGTCAGGTCCTTGCAGGGAAGCAGCAAGTTTAAACAGCATTCTGGTTTCACCCTCCCTGTCCTGGAAATACACCTGTGGTTGTAGCACCACAACGGAGAAATGTGTTCAGTTGGTGGCTTTAAAACTCCTGGAGTTCTGCACGGAGAACTGTGCTGACCAATGTACCACTCTCCCAGTGCGCATGTCTGCCGTGGAGAAATGGGAGCAGGCAGCTCTACTGTTCCTGTTTTTATATTGATAACTTTATCCAGTTTTCTACTGGGGGGTAGACACTAATAGGCTGTTAGAAGACACTACTGACATGTTAGAGACACATAAAGCCAACCTACTCGTAGGCTTATATTAATTTTTAAGTTCCAGACATTTCTTAACGGAAACATTTCTTTCTCAAACGATACTGATGGATGTTGTTACTGAGTACTTACTATGTGCTGGGCCCTCAATAGCCTCTTGATAATTCTAAAATTATAGATCCTATTATTGTGAACCTAATTACACAGAGCAGTGAAGTACCTGGCCCTGAGTACCTAGCAGAGGGTGGAGCTAGGCTCCAAATGCAGGGCTGCTCTCGCCAATGGGCTTTAAGGCCTCAAGGTTTCATCTGTAGTTGCTTCTTAGCTTTTCTGTCCAGCTACACTGACATTTAGATAAAAAATAGGCAATTAACTACTGAGAAAGAATAAAAAATATTACTGTTAACTTTTCCCTTTCAAATTGTAGAATTCAAAAATAATGGAATTACTTCAGGTAGTACCAAGCTGTGTGGCCACGTTAGACGATGTTGGCGAAACAGACCACAAGGAGTACGTTACTGTTAAGATCAGGAAAAAATGTAAGAAGTTATATTCCTTCTGTAATTCTCAACTTGGGTTTATTTGGAAGTTCATGAGTAGTTGCTGGTTTTCATCTAATTGTAAATGTGAAATGTAATTATAATCCTGACTAGGGTGGGATTAAACACCAAGGAAATGTGTATGTTACATCCTAATTTATCAGATATTTTGATACTAGTTTTCTGGTTGGTTGCCATGATATCTCTTAGCATTACCTTGAAGGCCAGGCCTCCACTCACTCACTGGGGAGGAGCAGCCGCCTCTGGTAGTTTTTTTCACGCCTTGTGTTCCAAAGCCAGTCCTTTTTCTAAGCATTTCCTGAACATCAGGGTAAATGCTACCTCTAAATAGTTTTTTTTTGGTTGATGGTAATTAGAACAGCATTTGCCAAACAGACAGGGCTGAAATATTTCCTTCCTTTTTTTAGGAAGCTGTTATAGTTTGGATGCTTTAGTTACAGTGAGCTTGCAGTGCAGCAACATGAATAAAGCCCCCACCTGGACGGTCCCGAGGCGCTCACTGTATTCTGCTGTGGCTGGGGAGCATCAGTGTATTAAGGCTTTATCTTGGTTTCGTGGGGGTTTACACAGTAATAGATAAATGTTTCTTTAAGCACATACGGTGCTTAATTTTCAAAACTTTGTTAAAGAAAATTGGCAGGTTGTATCTGTGCTGTAATTTTAAAACAATTCTTAAACCATTTTGGAAGTTTTCAGATGTTTATCCTTTTATCTACAGGGAACTCAAATATGTATAATCTACAAGATGAACCTTTTAAAAGACAGTTTTACTTTGTCCACTCAGTTGGTCAGTTTAAGTGAGTATAAAATTTGAGTTGATTTCTGTGCTTTTGACCCTATCTTTACTGAAAACCGGGAACAAAGTATGTGCAGCTTGAATGGGTTATAGACAAATATGCTCTCATCAAATGCTGCCACCTTGTGGCCAGGCAGAGTATTTTGCACCACTATCCCAAATATTAAGTGAGTTTGTTTTGGGTTTCAGGGAAAGGACTTCAGGGGAGATTATGGCAAGAGATAAAAGTGTCCCTAATTTTACTGAAGACTCTTTACATGAGGTGAGTTATTAAACACTGGATCATAATCATATTTTTTAAAGTTTGGCATTTTCAAAATTCATCTGTGGTAAACACATTTCTCATTTCATTATTGCCCTCACTGTAAGTTAATAACAATTAAAACTAGCTCTTTAGTGGGATGGTCAAGAGTATAGATGTAATTTTGGTTGTTGTTAATCTTCACCTGAGGATATTTTTTCCACTGGAAGGGAGAGGGAGAGGGGAGAGAAACACCGGTGTGTGAGAGACACATCGACCGGCTCCCCCCAGGACACTCCCCGACCTGGGCCAGGGATCGAGCCCACAGCCAAGGAACATGCCGCTGTCTGAAATCAAACCTGCAGCCCTTCAGTCCAAGGGCCGACGCTCTAACCACTGAGCAACCGGCCAGGGCTAGACGTCAGTTATATTTCCATTTCTGAGCGGAGAAAGGAAAGGGAGGAAAAAGTGGAAAATAGTTACATGCATGGAAAGACACGGTGTGCATGCTTGGTGAAACATCTCAACTTTCATTATCTAAGCAAATTCACTAATTTGTTAACCACTAATATAAAAAAGAAAACAAATTTGTATATAAGTGGGTAAAAAACTTCTCTCAATATGGTATAAAGTTGCTCATATAGACAATTCTGTATGTGGCCATCTTCCTACAGCACTTAGTCATTCAGTTATAAAGAGAAGCCTGCTTTATATTCTGTGGTGCTAGTAGGTGACTCTTCTCAGAAACATGACTTTTCTCATTGTTTCTTGCCAACATAATACATGACTATTGATGAAAATTTGAATTTATAGCATATAAATAGGCTTGTTGGGACAAATATGCAAAAATTCTAAATCTTTGTTTTAGAGAATTAAAGTGATTTCTGTTAATATGACTAATTTTTCATATTTAATCTTTCATGGCTTTGCTAATAGACCTGCTGGGTAGGAAACCGGCAAACTGAAATCTGCGTGGGTTCAGACAAGTGCTAGCTTTTCCCTTGCTAGCTGTGGGTGTTAGGCCAATGGCTTGACTTTACTGATCCTGTTTCCTCAGCTGTAGAATGGGGATAACAGTGGCACACACTTGTTAGAATTGTAAAGATTAAATGTGAGAACACGTAAAGCATTTATGCTGAGTCTGCCACCTGGAGCATGCACATCAGACACTCACCACAGGGATGTTAGAACTGAAATTGTCTGAAAAGTACTCAACACATTGGATGGCCTGTATAAGCACTCAAGGGTAGCTGTCATTGTCGTGGTTCAGAGTACAGTACATATGCTAACTATTTGAATTGTACCTTCTCTTTAGCCAGGGAGGCAAAAAGTCACACAGAAGCAGAAGAAGCTGTCAGACCAGAGCAGATCTCAGACTGCTGATAAAGGAGACGGTGATCAGCCCGAGAGGCCTGGGCAGAAACAACCTGCTCCTGGAAACAGGCGAATGCTCCGTAGAAACACTGTCAACGATGCAGCTGTACTGAAGGACCCAGAGACTGCTAGCAACCTAACCACTCCCCAAGAGGCTAGTATTTCCCAGTCTTAACAGTAATAAGGAATTAATTTGCTGCCATGAAGTGAGTCCTTAGCAAGATGTCAAGCACGAATACAGCTTAGAACTAAATGTAATTTCTGTTTGGCTTGAGAGAAAGCAGAAAGTTCCTGAAAGTTTTTCTATGGCTCGAAGAATACAACAAAGAAAAGGATCACCATCTCTTTCCTCTTCAGAGCTAATGAATATCCTTGAAAAGGAACAGACAAAAATTCCAGTGGTGTCAGATCCTTAAGACCCGGGTATATGTTTCTTCTTAATTTTTTTTAATTGATTTAGAGAGACAGGAAGGGAGAGAAACATCGACTTGTTGTTCCCCTATTTATGCACTCATTGGTTGCTGCTTGTATGTGCCCTGACGAGAGATCAAACCCGCAGTCTTGCATTGGGACAATGCTCTAACCAACTGAGCTACCCAGCTAGGGCTGTTTTCTTCGTAGATATTAGGGTTCCTTGGTTACAAGGAGAGGTTTCATCGCCAGATTCTGACCTCCTCCTCCTGAAAGGTGCTAAACCTCTGTGACGTATATAAATGAACAAACCACAAGCTAAAAGAATTCTTCCATCTGGGATGAACTAAAGAGAAGAAATTTAGGTTTTATGGTACTGTGGAGGCCTGACAGAAAGGTCCCATATGAATGAAGAAATAGGACCTGGAAAATGTTCCTTTGAAAAGCAACACTTGAACCCAAAGATGCCTAAATGCCATTTTGATGTTCATTTTAGTGAAAAGGACATATATGACCTGTTCTACACTATGTGTGTGGGGAAAGGTGGATATGATGTTTCTTCAGCTAGGTATAGATATTTGATCACTGCACACGTGCACCGGTAGCAGTGTCTTTGGAAACATCCCTTTCCGTTAACCTTCCCTTAAATGTCACACCTGAAGGATGATGGTAATAGAAAGTAGATTTGGCACATCCTTTCTTTCTTTTTTTTTTTTTTTTTTTTAAAAAAAANTTCCCCTATTTATGCACTCATTGGTTGCTGCTTGTATGTGCCCTGACGAGAGATCAAACCCGCAGTCTTGCATTGGGACAATGCTCTAACCAACTGAGCTACCCAGCTAGGGCTGTTTTCTTCGTAGATATTAGGGTTCCTTGGTTACAAGGAGAGGTTTCATCGCCAGATTCTGACCTCCTCCTCCTGAAAGGTGCTAAACCTCTGTGACGTATATAAATGAACAAACCACAAGCTAAAAGAATTCTTCCATCTGGGATGAACTAAAGAGAAGAAATTTAGGTTTTATGGTACTGTGGAGGCCTGACAGAAAGGTCCCATATGAATGAAGAAATAGGACCTGGAAAATGTTCCTTTGAAAAGCAACACTTGAACCCAAAGATGCCTAAATGCCATTTTGATGTTCATTTTAGTGAAAAGGACATATATGACCTGTTCTACACTATGTGTGTGGGGAAAGGTGGATATGATGTTTCTTCAGCTAGGTATAGATATTTGATCACTGCACACGTGCACCGGTAGCAGTGTCTTTGGAAACATCCCTTTCCGTTAACCTTCCCTTAAATGTCACACCTGAAGGATGATGGTAATAGAAAGTAGATTTGGCACATCCTTTCTTTCTTTTTTTTTTTTTTTTTTTTAGAGAGAAACATCAGTGTGTTGTTTCACTTACTTATGCACTCATTGGTTGAGTCTTGTATGTGCCCTGACCGGGGATCGAACCTGCAGCCTTCGCATGTGGGGATGATGCTCTGACCATCTGAGCCACCCGGCCAGGGATTGTTTTAGTCTCTTGATTCAGATTCAAAACTTACAGCACAAACCAGGTCAAAGTAACTTTGAGTTAAAATCTATTGCCATTTATTCCTTTTTTATGAATTTCTATAAATTATCTTATTTTTTTATGTTATTAATTGGTATAGATCCACAGACATGGGTTTGTCCTGAGTACATTTTCAAATAACTTTGTAACAGGGAAATGGTTTTGTGCATGTTCTTAGAAATACTTGTGTATGTACAGAAGGGAGGGGCTGATTATTTTTCTACAAAGTAATTTATGACTTCTAATTTTCTAATGTGCCTTGGGTATGTGCCAAATGATGGAAAAGAAACAGTAAACTTTATGATTCTTGAGCGTGTCACGGTGTACTTTTTTTACCTGATGTTTTGCTATGGAGATAACGTGTTTCTAAGCCTCTCTGCTATAAACATGTGCTGTGTGTGTGGAAAAACCTCCCCGCATTGGATGGATATACATTTATTTTTCCGTTATAGGTGTGACTGCGACTGAAACATAAACTGGATCATTCAGAGCAGATCATCACCCACCTACCCTGACTAGGGCTGATGGTACATTAGACAGTGCCTAGGGCCCGCAAAAAGTCTCCTTTCAAAATCGGAAGAACAAAAACGAATATATTACAACTTCTTAGCCTACACGGGAAATGAGCACTGTTGCTTTGCCAATCTGATTCATTTTTCATTTTCCCCACTTTTGAACAAAACAATTCATTGACTTAAGTTGCTATGGTCCTCAACCATCCTAATTAAGAAGCCATGTCCTATGTAGTTTATCAGCACAGCCATTTCCAACATGCAGTGGTACCACCCAATTGATTTTTTCTTAATTAAAAAAAATTGTTTTTAATCCTCACCTGAGGATACCTTTATCGTTGGTTTTGAGAGAGTGTGAAAGGGAGAGACAGAAAGAGAGGAAATCGATGTGAGAGAGACACATTGATTGGTTGCCTCCCGCTTGTGCCCTAACCAAGGCAACCCAAGGTAGGTGCCCTGAATGGGACTGTCTTAGGGAAGGAGTTTCCTCTTGAGCTGCTCTGGCAGTCAGCAGGGTGAGCCATCTGAAGTGATTTATCTCGATTATATTTAAAACACTTGTTTTTTTCTTCCAGTTGCTTTCCCACTTAAAACTAAACTTGATTTGACAACTCAGAAGTTGCTAATCCCAAATTTCAATTTTGAATGTTTTGAATTCAAAGTATTGTCAGTTTAGAACAACCACTCTCCACTCCCTAGACCAAAATGTGTCCCACCTTTGTCTTCAAGAACTTCTATCCTGTACACAGAACCACTTTCCATTCTCAGGTGTCTTTGAAGCACAAGAATTTGACAGTCTTTAAACACATTCACATCAGTAGCTGCCATTAGGACAGTGCTTATTCTGCAAGAGAAAGCATGTAACAAGACTCGCTGAGAACTGTCTAGTCTCCCACCAGCATTTTTATGTAAATGAAACTAAAGCAAAATTTACCTAATTGGAGTTTTTGGTTTTTTGGTTTCAAAATCCTTGAAAATTTACTTTTGATTATTTAACTCTGTTCCTTTAGAAAACCTTGTTGTTCTTAATGGTTCTACTCATTCAGGAATGCTAGACACTTAATTTCAATACTGACTTTTTCCTTGACTATAATCAGTTACAAATTTCTAGTCTCTAATAGAGTAAACTCTCAAATGTAGCTTAAACATCCATCAGCAGTATGCTAGTAAAGCAGGCTGGACTGTAAACCGTACTTCCCATCACTTTTCTGCTACTAATTCTTCTCATCTCATTAAACCCTCTAACTTCCTTTTGGGCTACGTCTCACAGAACCAAGGCATCCAAAAGGTTACACCAAGGAGCTCACTTTGAATTTATGACTTATTTTATGAGCAACGGTTTCATAACCTAGTGGGGGTGAAGCACGATATGAGATGACATTTGCTTTAAGTTACTGCAACTCTATCAGTGAAGAACCCAGAACATTTCTACCAAAATGTTTAACTGTTGTTAAACCATCTCAACTAGATTTTAATCATTAGAAGTCATTTACTTACAAACATGTCTATTATTGTTGAATTATTATTACCAGTATTTCCTAGTTATTTGAGGAATTCTTTTCAATGGAAGTATCACTCTGGCTACAGAGGTTTTTTTAATAGGGGTAATATTTGTTAGATAATTTAATATACCTCAATGCCTTTGAAAAACATACTATAAATGAAACCAAAGCTAGGGATGTTCTTACATTAAATGTAAGTACTATTTGCAGGAAGAAAAATAGCTCACCTGCTTTCAGAACGTGTGTATGAAATACTAGATATTAAAGTTGATTCAGCTTAATCCACGGGGTTTCACTTCCATGATGTGACTCGATGCTATTTTCTTCTGTTTTTAATCCTTACCCAGGGAGTGAGGATATTTTTTTCCATTGACTTTTAGAGAGAGAGAGAAACATCAATATGAGATCGGTCGGCTGCCTCCCACACGCGCCCCGACGGGGGACAGGGCTCGAGCCTGCAACCCAGATATGTGCCCTTGACCAGAAATCGAACCCGCGACCCTCCGGGTTGCAGGCTGGCGTTCTAACCACTGAGCCGCACCGGCCAGGGCGATGCTGTTTTTTCTTACTGAAGATGACTCAGGCAGCTTCTATTTCTGCTACGGCATTTTCCTCCCCAACACTAATGTCACAATTACAAAGGATACGTTCATGCTACTACAAATTTAAAAGTTTTTGGTGCAAAAGGAAAAAATGCAAAATGGAGATCTTCTGTTGATTCAGCTATGGTACTAAAATAACTTTGCCCAGATTGTTTTATTTTACATAACAAGTTTATTTTTCTAAAGGTATATAAACAATAAACAAAGTAAACATTCAATCAGATCTTAACTGCCAAGTATTATTGTCTGGAATTGTCCATTAAGTTCCAGTGTCTAAGCATCTTAAGTTCAATAATCGTCATCATCTTCATCAGAGTCCATTACTTTTCTCCTGTTGAACTGGGGGAGGGAGGATTTAAAGTGTTATTACATGTTTAATAAAGCATAACTCAGATTTTCTGAGAAGAAATATTTCTACCTACTACAGTAAGACAATTCTGTCTTTAAAACAACTTAGTGTTTTAGATCTAAGGGGAGGGGGAATGACAACACAAGAGCCTTAAAATTAGACCTCTCGATATATGCAGCCTTGCCCCCCAACTTCCATGTGTTACAAAGTGGGAATGTCTATGGGCTGAAACATGTTTTGATACAGTAGATGTATATTCAACAAAACATTTAAAATATCAATCTTTCTCTTTTGCCATGTGCATTTGGGAAAACTTACTTTAACTGTAGTTTTCTTTTCTGTTTGTTGGCTTACTTTTTCAAGGATCTCTATTAAACCTTGTTCTGTTACCTAGGATAACCAGAAAGAAAAACATTACTTTTTTAAAACAAAGAACTGATCTCAGCAGATGGAATCATTTTAGTCTTTCTGGGGTGTGGAGGTGGAGGTCAAGAGGAAAGGAGAGGTGGGACGGGAGGTTGAAACTACCGGTTATAACTACAGGCATAGCTCATTTTATTGTGCTTCCCGTTACTGCGCTTCACAGGTGTTGCATATTTTACAAAGTGAAGACAAAACCCTCCAGCAAAAAGATTAGGACTAGCTTTACTGCAGTCGTCTGGAACCGACCTTGCAATATCTCTAATATATACCTATATTAGTTTCAGTTCCAAATAGAATTTGCTCTGCCAGTCATTTGAGGAGGGGGGAAAGTATCCATCAATTAGCTTCCTCAGAAAAATCCAGATATTTAAAAACACCTTTATCACCACTCGCAAACAAAGATAACCACCTACAGCCCTCTGCTGTGTCAGGGATAGAGACCACCTCTGCCCTCGAGACCCTGAGAAGCTTAAATGCGGGAGATAAGTCACTCAAAAATGATGAACCAGTCATTGTCTCTTCCACACACCATTCTTAGTGTAAGACTGAACCCTGCAGGCTGTGGTGGCAGCAAAGGGCTTCCCAGTGCAGATGGGGCGCATCTGTATCTTGAAGGACAGTCTTGCAAAAATATACCCATGAGGGCGTTACAGCAACACACACAATAACCAAAAATGTTAGCTCCTTATTTGCAAAACAAGCTTAATGTCTACCTACACTGGTAGTGTATTAATTTGTGGGGGTTTTTACTGATTTGAGAGAGACAGACAGACATCAATTCGTTGTTCCACTTATTTATGCACTCACTGGTTAATTCTTGTATGTGCCCTGTACTGGGATCGAACCCATGGGGATCAAACTGGCAACCTTGGCATATACAGAAGATGTGCCAACTGACCTTTCCAGCCAGGGCTTAATTTGTATTGTTGAGAAATCTGGTTCCCAGAAACAATTTAAGCCAGCTGACCCTAAAAGTCATTGGGTCACACAGATACCAACAAGGTTCCACAATGTCAGGAAAGAAAAGCAGCAGAGGATCTTAGGAAAGGCAATGAAGATATCTTTTAGGATTTATGGTAGATTACAACTATTCTTGCCTTTAAAAACTACTTCTTTGCCCGGATGCTGTGGCTCAGCAGTTGAGCATCGACCTATGACCCAGGAGATCGCAGCTCAATTCCCGGTGAGGGCACAGGCCTGGGTTGCAGGCTCGATTCCCAGCATGGGGCGTGCAGGAGGCAGCCGATCAATGACTCTCTCATAATTGACGTTTCTATCTCTCCCTCTCCGTTCCTCTCTCTAAAGTCAATAAAAATATACTTTTAAAAAAAATTGTTTTAAAAAAAGAGCCCGGGCCGATGTGGCTCAGTTGGGTTGAGCATGGTCCCATGCACCAAAAGACTGCTGGTTCAATTCCCAGTCAGGGCGCATGCCTGGGTTCTGGGCTCTGGTTCTCTCTCAAATTAATGTTTCTCAAATTGATATTTCTCTCTCTCTCCCTCCTCTCTCTTCCTCGCTCTAAAAATCAATAAAAACATATTTAAAAATAAATAAATAACAGTCAACAAGATTTCTGTAACCAGAGGATGGTGAAATTGACCTTTTT